ATGGAGTGTGAAGAAGGAGATGAGAGAGCTCACCCCAGGAAAAAAAGTAGGAAGCATTCCTAGTCTTGGAAGGAATGTTAATAACCAGATATTGAACAGAAAAAAAAAGCTCCTAATTTCCTGCAACCTTATAAAGAAGCGCTCAGCAGTGGCTCCTCATGATTTTCAGACTTTGCAATGCCTTCAGAAAGCAGATTTCCCTGGCCCAATTCAGGCGCTGCTGAGGAGTTAAGTCATGTGCTTATAGGGCAAACAGGAGCTTTCACAGGCACGTACCTCTGGCTCAGGATAGAAAGACAGGAGTTTAGACTTCTTTCTTTCTAGACTTGAGACACCACACATTAATAATAGGTTATAAGAATATGAAGTTTACCCAAGATCTTAACAGTTTAAGCCATGGGGGTGCTACACTCACAAGTGGATTAACTCACTGATGTTCACACCACATACCAGTGATTCATCCACTGCTGTGCTGTGAGGAAGTGGGACCCAGTGAGAGGATGGGGATCCCCAAGGTCATGCCTGTGGAGAGTTTATCTCTTACAAGCGCTCTTTCCCTGTGCTCTGCTTCCCCACCTCCACGAACTGAACAGCTTTGCACCACCGTGCCATTCCAGTAAGATGTGTCTTCCTTGAATCCAGACACCTGTGGATTAAACGCTCTGAAATTACAAGACAAAGGAAACTATCTCCTCCTTTCAGTTCTAAGGGTCAGGTATTTTTATCCCAGCAATAGAAAATCTCAATTGAAGGAATATTTATCCAATATTCAAAACCTTTGTCTGATTCAACAAAAAATTTCACTATCATTGATGAACAAAATTCTGATATACATTTTCATGCTTTATTGTCATCTATATCCTTAACCCAAAGGGAACTTCCAGCCGCTTTGCCGCTGAGCTAAATCCCCAGCCCCTATTACCTTGCTTTGTAAAAGGCAAAAGATTTATACGATCTAAAGAGAAGCCAGAGTGTATTATTATCTTGTTTTGAAATTCTGTATTATTGGTTTTTGTTTTTTTTCCCTCTAACAACAACAACCTACACCTCTAAAACCCTCAATTTTCCAGCCTGGCTTTGACTCCACTGATGCCAGTTTAATTTGGTTCTAGAACACCCCTCAGTCCCGCCTCCTTGAAGCTCATCAAGTTTCAGTAACATTTCTCGGCTCATGTTGTTACTGCTTGGATCAGCAAGTGTAAAATAAATGAATGCTGCATTTCACAGAGAGGCACATGATTAACCATTAGGTAAAATATCACAACTCTGGTCACTGTTCCAGAGGGTATTCTGATCGGCTTTAAGTTTCTGAAACAAATTTCATGCATGGAGACTTTAGTCAGTTCACTAGCATTACAATTTTCCTTAATGATTAACTTGTAACTTCCATTTGTGTCATCAAAATATATCCACCCCAGAAAATGTCAGTGGTAACTTTCCACACAGTTTATGCTTGGGACTGTCCTTAAAATCCTGTCACTAAAGGAGAAACATCTTAGTTTGAGAGCATTATGTCTCAAATTTGAAGCTTTTTTTAAGGCTGGGAATATCATGTTTTTCTGTAACTCATGAATAAATAACTGAGGCCTACATGGAAGAATTTTCCAAACCATTTTAAAGACACATAAAATTATCTGTACACTGACCACATCCTGCTGAGGTTAGAGTTAATTCTAATGGCTAAAAGTGGAGTTCTGAACAGCATTTGCACAGGTATGGCTGTCCACAGCACATTTAAGTTATGTAAAGATTGGTCCCCTGGTTAAAATACCTCTATATCGTCTCTCCAAATGCTCCTCGACATGATGCAGCTGGGTACTGGAGCCAGCACTCCTAAGCTGGCAGTTCTGCAGTGAAACATTTAAAGCCATATTCCCCGGTCCGCACCACTTCCCCTGAATGCCATGGCACTAATCTGTGCTTTTCTTCCTTTGATTATGCTTGTGGTTTTCGATTCAAGCTTTAAAAAAAAAATCAGTCTATTATTACAAAAGCTTTTCTACACTATCATTCCAGACCGAGACACGACTATTATTTATATCATTAACTGTTTGTTGGTGCCGCAGTCTCTTTGAGGGTCTTTTCTTTTTCCTGTTCCACATTTTATGCAATGTTAAAGGTTATCCCTCATCTTACAGTCTAATGTGTATGGCAAAAGCCCAAGATCTCAAAGGCAGTGCTGTGATTTTCATGAGCATAATACTTACACTGTTTACAGAGTGCAGCGGAGATGAGCTTGCTTACCACCACGCACAGGCTGAGAAAATTAGGACAAGCGCATGCCTAATCATTTCCCAGAGAAATAGAAATACTACCTGTTCAAACATTCTTCCTCAAAGGACATGCTGAATGTGAACAATACAGGAATCCAATTACCATGTGAAACCTGAGCTACACATTCCCTACCTCTCTCAAAGTGCTACTCCTGGGATCTTCCCTCCCTGACTTCCTCTTGGCCTCCCTTCCTTCCCTTCTTCCTTATTTTTTGTTCTATCAGTGTAAGTGAATTCCCTACTGGCTGTTCAGTAAGCTTTTCATAGGAGAGAACCACTTGCTATGAAATGCTATGCATAACAGTCCTTCTGGGGCTCAAAGCTAAAGTTTTGTTAGTGGGGAGTAAATATAATATAGGGTAATAGTCAGATGTTGGATCTTTTTCTTCTTCTTTTATAAAAATAATGCATGGACCACCATAAAGGTACAAAATATTGAATACTTATTTTAAATTTGTCAAATTTTTCCAACCGCTGTGACCACCAACCCTGTAATTTCTCACAAATATTATTGCAATAACTTTCTAATTGATCTTTTTATCCTATTCTTTCCTGTTCTATAATCCCCTCCACGGCTTCGAGGATGAGGCACATGAACACGACCAGATCATACCAGAACTTGTGCACTTAGAACAGCACCCGAACCCTTCTCACGGTTCTCAGAGCCCTCCCTGACCCGGTGCCCACGGACTTCTCCCCTCGCACGTCCCCTCTTTCAACTTTATATCTCAGCTACCATGACCTCTCCGTGTTTTTCTTCTCTGTGTGCTAAGTTGTGTCCCATGCTAGAATCTTTCCACACGGCCTTCCTCCACCCAGGACACTTGCTTCTGCTTGATGTTTACGTGGCTGGGTTATTCTTGTCACTCAAATTCCAGAATAAATGTCACCTGTCACAGGGGCCCTTCCTTCACCCTGCAGGGATTAGCCACCTGTTTCGTCTTTATCGTCTACTTTCATTCTCAGCGTAGTTCCACTCATGAGTTTATTGTTCTTGATTATTTGCTGTTGATGTTGTTGCTTATAGGATTGCTTTCTCTCTTACCAGAATGCAATTTGATGACGAAAGGTAAATTTTCTTTCTTCCTCAATATCACATTCTCAGTGCTTACAACGCTGGTGGCACACACGGACGTAATAAATATTTGGAAAATGAATGAACAAATGCAAGAAATGTGATTATACTAAATGCAAAGAGGAACCTGTTGTTGACGTGTCACATGCCCTCAGTCTCTTCTTACGCAGCTTCAATCCCACCCCCAGCATAACCCCTCCCTGCATGTCTCGCAGCTTGGCTTGTCTCTCCTTTTGGCCATTATCCTCCAGTGAAGCTGCAGTGCTGGGTAAATTCACCGCTCTGACTGCTCTTGCCAGGCAGCTGAATATGAGTAGAGAGCAACATATAATCAGGCCAGCTGGTTCCACCTTAAATGCATGATCCAAAGGTGTATATTGGACCTTGATATAGCGTTGCAATTTTGCTGCCACATTTAACCCATTCCGAGACTCATAACTTTTCACACTTTAACTTCTTTGAAATCTCTGTCCAAGTTAGGGTTAGTGACAACCTCCGTCATCAAGATGGCGGCTGTGACAGTAGAACTTGGTTGCCTTTCTGGGATATGGGCCACCTGAAAGGCAACTGCTCTACACCGCTGGAGATCATCTGAAGAAAGTTTGTGAGTCCCACGTCTGGTTTGAAAACCTTCCATGAAAACTTTCTGGTGGAAAACCAGCCGCACCAAACTTGCAGAAAGGGTGTCTGTATCCACACTCTCCGGGCCTCTCCTCTCATGTGGAGATCTTAACAAAGTAGTCTGAATAAGTAACATATTCACAGAGTTCAAAAATCAAAATAAAGCGTGCAGCGAGGAGCTTCATGTCCATTTTTATCCCATCATTCAGGCCGTTTCACCCGCCCCCAATAGGTAAACTCATTTTAGGAAATTTCTTATGTATCTTCCAAGTGATTCTTTATGTAGGTTGAACCAAAATAATCATGCTTCCTTATTTTAAATCTTTCTGACCTAAAAGGCATCACAAAGGGCAAAATTTTTTCACTTCACTTTTTTCATATAATAATAAATACTAAACGTCATGTTATTAATACATAGAGTATCCTTAAATCATGTCTGTAGCTCCTTAGATTCCACTGCATAGATAGTCCTCGGTTTGTTTAGCCGGCCCTTATTTGTAACCACTTGAGTTATTTTTAATCAGTTGTTGTTAAAAATGCTACAATCACTTTATGCACACATAATTTCATACAGATATAAATGTGTAAGAGAAATTCTGCCAAATGAAGTACTGGTAAGAGGGTAAATGTGTATTGTGGGTTGCATAACTCCCCTAGAAAGATGGTCAAATCCTAACTTTTGGAACCCCTAAATGTGATCTTATTTGGAAAGAGGGTCTTTGGAAATGTAATCAAGTAAAGGTGAGGTCACACTAGATTAAGATGGACCCTAATTCAATGACCACTGTCCTCATAAGAGGATCAGTGGGGTAGAGACACACAAAGACCCGCAGGGAAGGATGCAATCTGAAGCCCGAGGGTGAGAGGAGAGCAATGTTTACACATCCAGGAATGACACCAGAAGGCAGCTACAGGCAAGTGAGGATTCCTCCCCAGGGCCTTTTTCGCAACTTAATGTTGGACTTTTGGTCTCTAAAACTATGAGAGAGCACATTCCTGTTGTTTGAAATTATCATGTTTGTGGTATTTAGTTACAGCAAAGGAAGACAAGGCGTTTATAATTTTGACAACTATTTTTGAATTCCTCTCCGTGGTCTCAATACCATGCAAGCATCTTACCAGTGAACACTGCAAAGATTTCTGCCTCCCTGGCTCACAAGCTGTGAGTGTTTGTTAAAATTCTCTACTGCCCATGAGATACATGATAACAAGTCGTGCCTCAGGTAGGTTTTGTATTTTCCTTTTCATGAGCAAGTATTTTGTCTTACATTTCAGGACTGTTAATTTCCTTTTCTATGAACTCTGTATCTTTTGCCATTTTTTGTTTGATTATTGTCATTTTGTTTCAGTTTATAATATTAGAGGAGCCCTCATTTTAACATTATATGTATCTTTTCCAGTTTATTCTTTGTCTTCAGAAATACCAGTTGACTAAACTTTTTATTTTCATTAATTTATTATCCTTTCATATGGTTTCTGGAATTTGAGTCATAGAAATGACTTGGGGGGTTTATAAGAGAACTGCACCCATGCCTTTTTTAGAACTTTTCTCGTTCATCATCAAGAAGTTCACTGGAAATCTTAAAAGGATGAAGTTGGATCTAACTTTATCTTTTTCCAGATGGTACATAGTTTATTTTGACACCATTTATTCTTGAAATGTTACCTTTCTGATATAGTGAATTCTCATGTATATATTTGGATCTATTTCTGGAAATTCTATTCTGTTACATTGGCCTGTCTTTGTACTCATGTGCCAATAGAAACCTGTCTGCATTTTGGAAGTTCTGTAATACGTCTCAATATGCAGGCAGGCCAGTCAGTTTCATCCCACTTTGTCTGATGAATTCATGCCAATTAAGCCTCTGTCCCCATCATTTTATGTAAACTGCTTTAATACAGATTTCCATCGAACATTTTTGCTGAGAAAAACAGTTTGTTCTCAGCCCTCACCTAACTAGACAGACTAGCAACATTTGGTGTGGCTGAATGGTCCCTTTATAAGATCCTTTCCTAAGACATACCCTTCTCTTGGTGGTCATCCCACCCTGCTGGTTGATCTCATGCAAACTTGTTCATGCTTTCTCAGTTCCCTGGGCTGCGCATGCCCTCCATGGACCACTGCTTAGTCTTGTGATGCCTTTCCCATCCTCACCAAACTCATTTTCCGGATTATCTCCTACAGGAGCAGGACTTTAAACACCACCCCTACCCTAGTAACTGACACTTCATGCCTCTAAGCAGGTCCTGTCTCATGAATTCCAGACTCACATACACAATTGTTTATCAACATTTTAACTTATAGTGAAAAAAATTATTATCTTCAAAACTGTATTATCCATTTCCTTCTGCCAATTCTGGCTTTCCTCTCAGCTGAGAAAACCAAAATTGTGGAAAAATGTTTAACTCCTCTTTCTATTTCATGCCTCACATCTATTCTATGAGTGAATTTTTTCAGCTCTAACTTCAAAATATTTCCAGAACCCAAACAATTCTGCACATCTCCACGGCTATGCTCTGATCCATGGTCATCTTTTGCTAGGATTATACAAATACCCGCCTTCCTGTTCTCCCTGCTTACTTTTGTAGTCTGTTCTTCCCACACCAGCTAGATGGACACTGTATAACACACAAATCAGATTATATCATTCCTCTGCTTAAGATTTTCCACAGGAGGTGGGTTCCAAGGTGTAGTGGTTAGCACTTTGGACTCTGAATCCAGATTTTCCACAGGAATATCCCACCTCAAAAGCAAAGTGAAGTCCTATTTTTATCATGATACAGAGGCCCTAAATAATGTGATTTCCATGAAGACCTCAACTCCTACCACACTTAGACATTCTCCTCCAGTGTCATCTCTTCCTTGCTGCCCCTCAGACTTGCGGGCATTTTCCTACCACTGAGCTTTGCCATTTTCTACTTTCTGGCATGCTATATCATTAAATTTTCACAGCTCCACAAAGTGAAGATTACCGTTCGATTTTGTCGATGAGAAAGTGAAGCCTAGAGAGTATTAGTGTTGTCTCAAAACCCCTCAGTTCTATAAAGGTTTGCAACTGGCACAATAATTAAGAAGTGACACCAGGTCTCTAACCCAGTGTACTTTGTTAGCTCATTCTTCAACCTCTTTATCTTGGCAAGGTTTTAGTTTATACTTCCACCTTTTTTGCCCTGTCATCTGGAGGACCTCTCTGTGTGACATGAGGGCCTGAGTGGTTTTATCCACAAAAGGGATTTCAATCAGGGAATCCCAAAGTTTCTGCTGGGGCAGAGACTCCCATAGTGCTCAAAAAGAAGATGCCATATTTGTCATTTTGGTGTAATAAAGAGGACATAGCAAATACTGGGTAGGTAGCAGTGCAGAGGGAAACTTACTACTGTAGAAGTGGAGAGGTCCTAAGGGCTAATTTTGTGCTATCCAGAATTACTTTCTATGTGTGTCCCTTTTGACTCTATGTGACTTCTGTGACATGTTTATGTGTGAATAAGCTACCTCGCCTTTGCATGGACTCCTCTCATCACCTGCATAGTCAGACCAAGTAGAAAAACTTGCTCACGTACAAACTTAATTGTTCAAAGGCCCACTGTTATTTTTCCTGATACTTCAAAGTTTTATCCAGCTACCTGTCTTCCTGGTACAGCTCACGGCCAGGACAAAAGTTATTACCCCAAAGACAGTGCTATAGCTACAATGCATTGTTCCAGTTTTGAATCAATTCCAGTGTCAGAGAGACATTACATTTGTTCCCATCTCTAAAATGATCAGTACCATTGCACTGACATTCCAGCCTCCTACTCATATGAGGCAACTGTTTCTCAGTTTCTCTGTGGTTTTTCTGGTGGCCACGATAGCACCTGCCTGGGTTTAGAGATGCTCTTGCATTTCCTTGTGATGCCATCTGCTTAGCCCACAGCTGCCCTTCTCTCCTGTAACTCAACACATGTGGTTGAATCTCTAGTCCTCCATTTTTAGTTGGCTCCAGTCCTATTAACACTATCACTCTTTACCTTACTTACTAGTTACAGATTATTTTTCTTTCTGGAAACCTGGATAATTTTAGCAGAGACTGGGATAAAAAGTAATGTGATAGAGGATAGCTTATCACCACTCCATGCTTCCATGGTATAAAGGAAACATTCAACTTTGGAGATTGTATTGGTCAATTTCTCCATTTCTGGGACAAAATGCTTGACATACGCAGGAGGAAATTCCTTACAGGAGGAAATAGCATTTTGGGCTCACAGTTTCAGAGGCCACAGTGCATGGTCACTGACTCCAAGGGAGGACCATCATGGCAGAGTTGCGTGGTGGAGCTCACTGTTTGGTGGCTGGGAGGGAGAGCCCAGGGGAAGACTGCCAGCAAGAACACAGCCTCCAATGGCCCCCACCTCCTCCCTCTGGGCCCCACCTCTTAGCAGCACATTTGGTGATGAGCCTCAGTGGATGAAGCCATTAGTGCATGTGTTGCTCCTACGACCCAGCCATCTCTCCAGCAGTCTCCATTCAAGTTGACAGTTAAGATTAGCTAGCCCATGAGCACATGAGAATTGCTCCATTTTTATTTCCTTTCAATCAGATAAAGCCTGACTCAAAGCCTCATTCCACGTAGATGGAAAGACATTAACATTTATTTTCACTGAAAATGTCTCCCCACCCTGAAACATGCAAAATTTTACAATTAAAGATTTTGCATTCTCCCAGCAGTAGGTTGGTCCAGTCTTCCAACATCTGTATGGCTGTGAGATAGCACAGGTCAAAGGGTGGCATTCCCATATCCATGATACTAAAGGAAATCATAGAGATGAGTAATTCTTCAATGAAACTAAACTAAACTAGTTTTATTCTTTAGTAAAATTAAACTAAACTAACTAAATAAATAAAGTGGTAAGAAAATAAGTAAATCCAGGTGGCCTTTGCTACACCACTGTGATCTGCGATCACCAGTCCCCTTTGAAGAGTTCTTATATCTATGTTTTCTCTGGCAGCTGCAGTGGTAAAGGGCACTGTAACACAGGGTCTGGAGCTTCTTGTGCTTTACCTGTTAACTAATAGCTAATAACTATTAAGTAACCACTCAGTCAGTATTCGCATTGGGTTAGTAGTTACAGGCCAATATTTCCCACATTTTGGAGATACGGAAATGTTCATAAACTGGGATGAAGTCACACAGCAAGTAAGTAGCAAAGCTACAATTTGAGCCCAGATGCTGTGGCTCCAGAGTCTGTGCTCTAAGCACACGCCACTCTTTCACAGAAACCTGCACAGTCCGGGGTCTTATGACTTCGATCTCCAATGGCAGTACTGAGGCGGCTTGTGGTTCTCTTTGTGTGCGAGCACTCAATCAGGAGAAAAAGAGCGGAGTCCGGGCCCTTTTCCTCACTGATGCTTCTGACACACAGCCCTCGTTCTTCTGTTCCTCATGATCCCTGCTGTGATAGACTGGATGCTTATGTCCCCTCAAGTACTGTATATTTAAACTTCACTCCCAGTATGGTGACATTTGAAAGTGGGCACTTGGATAGGTCATGAGGGTGGACTGCTGGCCCTGTAAACAATCCCAGCCCACTCACCTACCCTTCTGCCATGTGAGATATATCAGAAAGAGGGTTGTCTCTCATCAAGGAGCAAGCCTGCATCAGACATGAAATCTGCAGGACCTTTGACCTTTGACTCTGGAGTTCCCAGTCTCTAGGGCTCTGAGGAGCAAATTTTTGTGGTTTATAAACCACTTAGCTCATGGTAGTTTGTTATAGCAGCCAAGATGAACCTTAGTTTCTCTTGTTTTTTTTTCTGTTTGTTTTTTTGTTTTGCTTTTTTTTTTGTCTCATGAGATAGAGTCTTGCTATATAGTGAAGGCCGACCTTAAACTCAGTATGTAACCCAAGCTGGCCTCAGATTCATGGCAATTCTCCTGCCTCAGCCTCCCAAGTGCTGGGATTACAGGCATGCACCACTACGCCTGGCTTCTCTTGGTTCTTTTTTGAAGAAGGCAGACTCTCCTGAGAGGATAAAAGCACACCTGATTGCCTTTGTGAGTTTCCTGGCTGTTCCGCATGAGAGAAGAGAAGCACCAGTGACTAGGTGTCTTGGTTACTTTTCTCTCGTTACTGAGACAAAATAGCCAACACTCAAAATTAAGGAAGGAAAGGTTTATTTAGCTCACAGTGTGTGGAGGTTTCAGTCTATAATCAGCTGGCTCCAGGGCAGGGTGGCATGGCACAGGGGCAACTGGTGAAGGGGGCAGATGACAGCAGAAGCAGCAAGAGCAAAAAGGCAGGGAAGCAAGCCTCTTTTCCCTCATTATGTTGTATGCCAGCTATCAGCCCATGCCCACACCATCTCCACGCCCTCCTCTCGCACAGGCTCAGGATGAACACAGAGTAAGCACTCTGGCCCCCCCACAGTCACTCAGTTACCCTTCTAAACTTCTCAAGTTGACACAATGAGCAGCACCCCAGAGGGGTAAGGGCGTGTCCTTTTCACCCCAGGGTGTGCAACTGCTGAGTCATTTAGTTAAGCCTCTAGATTCCTCAAGTTGACACAGTGTATCAACCATGACATTGGGTATATGAGAAGAAGTGCCCGATGTGCCTCCATGTGCTCTGCCATGACACCATTTCTCAGCATATACAATCAGTGGATTCCAATGCAATGTGGACACATATCTAAAGAGACAGAGAGACATAGTTGTTTGTGGAGGACAGTGAGAAAAAAAATACTGTCTGAAGCCCAAGCTAAAAATAAACTGTTTACAGTACACACACACCCTGCCTCGCTCACAGTGCGGCAACTGAGGGACGAAGGCAGAGTTTAATCATTTCATCCTCAGATGTGAAGGTCTCTGTGGTTTAATATGCACACATCACAGATTTCAAATTTTGCTGCTGAAATTCAGTCTTCAACAAAAACCTAGCTGTCTCTTTGTCTTGAAATGCGTTCTAAAATGTATAATGAAGGTCTATTGAAACCCATAAAGCATCTCGGGAAAATGCTGGCTTAACTTACACAGCCAGTTCTCTTTTTCATAAATTCAATTTGTATTATTTGGTTGAAGAGACTGTTCTCTGAGCCCTGACAGAAGCGGGTGCCGAGGCTGACACTCAGTCCCAGGGTTTCCATGGAAAAATCTGTAGGAAAAAATCATGTAATTGATCTCATTTTTTAGGTTTGTCAGGCTTTGCCTGGCTGCAAGTCCCTGCATGACTTTTCTCTCCAGAGCAGAAAGCCTGACCAGGGGCTGGCCTTCTATAAGCCCTAGGTCCCAGGGAGTCACTTCCTTCTGGATGGAAGCAGTGTGTGGTGCAGGAGGAGGCTTGTACCTTGATGAGTCTGTGCCAGGAGAGTGTGCTCAGTTCCCGTGACCCACACTGTTTGTTTCTGTGATCTCATCCTCACATTGTGCCTTGGTCCTGGTGCTGAACTCCAGCTCCTTATGCTCAAGTCCCTGCCTGCCTACCTGCTTTGCTTTTCAACTCTTCCTAGAACGGAGAACAGTGCTTGTATACATGCTAATCCTCCTCTTTCCCACTCACGGGGTGTCCCAAACTGAGCATTATTAATATTTAGAGCATGATACCTTTGTGTTGTGAGCTCTGTCCTGTGTAGTATAGCTATTTAGTAGCATCTCTGGATGCTACCCACTTTTACTAACCAGCCACCTGCTCTCTGAGACACCATACTCTACACCCACAACATAAAGGAGGAGAGGTTTAATTGAGTTTCAAGAGGTGCAGTCCATGGTTGCCTGGCTCAGTGGCAGGAACATCACAGTGGAAGAGCATGGAAGAGCAAAGATACTTCATCCATAGCGGTGAAGAAGAAAAGCAGAACAGTGCCAGAGAGGAAGAGGCGAGGAGCTTACATGGTACTCGAGGTCCTGCCTCCCTGGCGCACCGAGACACACTTACAAGTGTGCTCCATCAGTCCCTGGGGCAGCTCCCAAATCCAGGCAAGCTGACACTCCACCTTAAATGCCACATGACTAGATGCCAGTAGCATCCTCCCCTCAGTCATGACAGTCAAAAATATATCCAGACATTTCCAGTGTTCTTCAGAGGGCTGGGAAAGCTGCCATTGGTTGAAAACAAGTGTTTTGTCTCCTGGGACCAACACTGCTGTAGCATCCCAAGATGCTTTCTAGCTGCCATCATGAAGTTTCACTGACCTTGGAGATGACCAGCAAACATATATAGTCAGTTTCAAAGGGGAGACAGCATTGTCATTTAACATTTTCTAGAAAGGCACTAGCAAAGTAGAAAAGAACAGGAGAAATTAATTTAATAACATTTTATTTTACCCAATGTGTCCAGATTATTATTCTTATTTGTTATGTCTTTGACATCCAGTGTATATTTTACCTTTACAGTACCTCCCAATTTGGACTCTCCATTTTTCATGTGATTGATAAGTTGTGTGTGGCCAGTGGTTTCATATGGAGTGGACAGTCTGGTCTAGATGGTTTTTTTTTTTTTTTTTTTTTTTTGTCTTTTTGTGTCAGGGTCTTGCTATGCAGTTCAGGCTTGAGCTCACTTTGTACCCCAGGCTGGTCTCGAACTTACAACGAGTCTCCTGCCTCAGCCTCCCAAGTGCTAGGATTACAGACATGTGCCACCACTCCCGGCTACTGGTCTAGATTTTTAAGGCACTCTTTCCTCTTCAATTCACTCTGAGAGTCAGAATTTTGCAGTAATATAAGCATAGGCTTCGGTGTCAGGCATACCTAGTTTACTATTTCTGTGTCTCTTTCGAATACTACGAGCTTAAAATGATCTTTTTGAACCTCATTTTGAATATTGGTATTAGGGAAGTAATCATTGCTCTTTGAAGAGTTGTTAGGAGAATCAAGTGCAACAACGTGCACAGGGCCTGGTACAGGGCAGCTGCCTTGTAAGCAGGGTAGCCCTGTTTCCTTTTGTCTGCTAGCATCAGAAGCCTTTATAGTGCAGAAAATTCTAGGATGCAGTTCTCCAGTGCTAACTTCTTGCTTGAAACCACACTCACGTTCCGTTCCTTAGTTTCCATGCTCTGGGCCTCCTCAGGGTGCGCAGGGAAAGAGACTCCCCCGAGGGGCCCCGAGTTTACTCCACTTGGTCCTGTCCAGCCTCCATTAACTAAGACATGGTTAGCTGTGTCTAAGCAAAATGGTAATGTAAAAAGAAGCACTTGGCACTCTCAATTTCTTTTTATCTCGACTAATATTTATCCCACACTTCCTGCAAGTCAAATAACATACAGTAAAAAAAAAAAAAAAAAAAAAGATAGAAAAGGCAGCATTCTTGAATGTATTCTTCCCAGCAAGCAAGGCCACCTAAATATACGACTCCATTAAGGCATAGTATCACTTTGCTTGCAGGCTCTCTTTGCAGAGACACAAGAGTGTCGATATTCTTGTCCACTATTAAGAAGAAAACAAATGGCTACACCCATCTGGCTGAATGAGTGGCTAGCTAATCCATCCACTTTGTGTCCTAAAAGATGGGATGAATGAGAAAATACAAAGTCATTATCCTGAGAAAGACAACCCACATTGTAAGTATGTGTATCGCACTTCCACAAATGTTTAGTTCAGAACTCATACCCAGGGGTATTGAGGTCAACTGCATATGATGGAAAGTTGACAGGTTTTTTATATATACATTTATTTCTTCCTTGTTTTTCTAAATATGCAGGACAGCAGGAGAATTCCTCTTTCCTGTCAGTTCCCTTTCACCTCGTGTGAAAATATACTGTGCAATACAATGTGTTAATTAAAACTCTTTTATATGTCCTGAATTGTCCTTTTATCAAGCTTTAAAGAAGATTATGCTTTTCCTAGATCACCGTGAGGTTTATTGGGAAAAAAGCTATCAAGATTATTTGAGAGACACATTCAAAGTGTCTACTGTGTGTCAGGCACTGGAGACAGCCCGCTGATTAAAGGACATGTTCCCTTCTCAGCGCCCTGGAGGAAACAGCATGCAAATAAATGATCACAAAATGATATGCAACTCGTAGCACGCAGGATTTTGGAAGCACGGAGAAAGGAGCAGTTTTCCTTCATTCATACGTTTGTCAAGCACCAACCATGGGCTACGACAGGGTGGTGAAAAGTGACATTAAAAATAAAAGTAAAAGATCAAAAGAAAGAAAGGCATACACTGTGGGTTTTGTTGTTGTGAAATTGTTCCTTTTTAAAGGAAAGAAATAGTAAAAAAAAAATCTTTTGATCTCCATTGTTCTATCATGTATGTGTTTTTAGATTGTACCTTTACTCACCGCTACTTACTTTTGATTTTGAATGCAGGTGTATACCAAATTAAACCAGGAAAACCTAATGAAAGATTCTGCAGTTTTCCTGAGCATTTGAGCTATTATTGACATTCATTTTCCCTTGCCAAATTAATGAAAAGGGGACAATAATTTTATTTATAATATATGATATAATTTGACGACTAGTTTTCAGTTAAAGGTTACAATAGAATTTAGTGCTATCTCTGTTCTAAATTTAGTTTGTTTCTTCCTGTTGCCCAATTAAAAATATTCTTTAGTATCTTGTAGGGTCTGAGAATATGAAAAAAGAATATATGTAAAACAATTGCAAGTAAAAATGTAGGCTTATGATGAGTTATGTATTTTTAGAAAAGATTTGCATCCTACATAAAAGCTTTCATAGCAAGCTTTTCCTATTTAAGTTTGTTTTTAATTCAGCCTTACAGTAGTCATATAAGGTTGAAACGTTATTATGCTATTATTTTTCTCACTGTACAGATAGGTCAACAGGACACAAAAGATTAAATGACTTGCCTGGTGTTATGTAGAATAACATTACTAGCAGAGCCAGTAATGCAGCCCAGGTTTACCGAATCTCAGTCCTTGAACCCAATCAGAAAATTTCTACTTGGTTTACCTGAAGTATGCTTAATTTTTAATGGATTTCCTTCAACAAATTTCTAACCTTTAGATAGTCTAACATAATTCCTATTTACCTGTCAGTTGAGAAACTTCACCATTTGAGGTAGTCGGTCATTATTGGATATCTGTTAGGTATGGAATGGCCAACTACAAAACAATGCATAAAATTGCTTTCCTCAGGGAACTTATATATAAATATTGATGTATAATGTCACTTCAACATGCAGTAGAATGATTATAATAGTGAGATCGAAAACCCATTAGTTGTCTTAATCAGTGAGAGTACTATTGGTCACAATTAGACACAAACTTTTTCTGTCTTTGAGCATAGTGGTGTGATACTGACAAGAGGATAGAAAAACAGACCAATGAAACAGAATAGAGAACCTAAAAATGTATCTCTGTAACTACAGTGATATGATAGATAGCAAATGCTCACTACACGTCTGGAAGAAAAGGATAGTTTTTTCAATAAATAGTTCCTAGCTATGTAGTTATTCATATGGAAAATGAGGGGCTGGGGATTTAGCTCAGTGGCAAAAGCGCCTGCCTGGCAAGTGCAAGGTCGTGAGTTCGGTTCCTGGTACCGGAGAAAAACCCAAAAAAAAAAAACAACAAAAAACACATATGGAAAATGAATATACTTGACCTCTACATCATTTATTTTACAAAAGAAATTTGGCATAAGCCATATTTCTAAGCATGAAAGGCAAATCTGTAAAGCATCTGGAAGATGACCTAAACACTAGCTTCATGTTCTAGTGGTAAGCAACTATTTTTAAAAACATCAGTGTAGAAACACTGTCTTAGTTTTTTTTTTCTCATTGCTTAGAAAAAAATACCTGAGACCCAGAGTTGAAGGAAGAAAGGTTTATTTAGCTCACAGTTTGCAGAGGTTTCAGCTCACAGTTGGCTGGTTCCAAGGCGGAGGGGCCTCGCAGAGGAGAAGCAGTTCATGGCGGGCAGAAGGGAGCAAAGCAATGAGATAGCAAGAAACAAGCAACCAGGGACAAGCAGTGACTCTCTTTCTGTCCTTTAAATCCTATCCAGGCTCCCCACCTTTAGGGCTGGTAGCGCTCACACACAGGGTGGGGCACTTTTAAAAAATTTTTTTTTTTAATTTTAAAGAGAGTAGTAAATGAGAACCAAAAAAAAAAAAAAAAATAGAACAGTAGCAGCATACCATTATCAGGAATATAAACAAATCAAAGCAAGAACGTTAAAAGTGATACAGGTTCTCAAGACAAAATAATACAAATCAGCAGTGATTGTTACATTGCATATCATTATCAGCAACTACATTGCTCAGATTACCAGATATAAGAATGAAAGATTGCTCAAACCATTAAAGAGGGGCTGGGGATTTAGTTCAGTGGCACAGCACCTGCCTCGCAAGCGCAAGGTTGTGAGTTTGATTCCCGGTACCGCAAAAAAACCAAAAAACCAAAAAAAAAAAAAAAAAAAAAAAACAAAACATTAAAGAGAATAAGAAAATAATTCTTCAATAAAGCATTAGAGATAATACAGAGTTTCACTACACAAGATGGTAGGAATTCACCACTGTAATTCCATTGCATATTGCTACCTTCAAATCAGTTGCTCAGACCACCAGACACAAGCATGCACAATTGATCAGAATATAAAAAATTGTAAGAATTACACTCTTAATCCTAGCATCACACCATGAACCAATCCCAGCGTCCCGCCATGAATGAATCCCAGCATCACGTTCTTGTCACAGCATTGCACACCCTAGATCCAGCCACCTCCGAAAATCCCCACCTATGACCTCATGAGGCTGTGGGGGAACATTTAGACACAAGCCATAGCAAACACTAACCATAAAAGAAACGATTAAAATAATCTTTATTAAATTTCTAATTTTTATCTGCCAAAAGTGATTATTTAGAGATTAAAAAAGCATTCATAGGTGGTAAATATACTATAATACATATAACTGATAACTCTTTTCAAAGTATATAAAGAAAGATTTTCAAAAAGACAGATAAAATTGAATTAAAAATAAAATGGGTAAACAATTTAAAGGTACTATAGAAAGCCAATAAGCACAAGAAAGTGTGCTTGTATCATTTGTCATTGAGAAATGAAAATTAAAGCCACAGTGAGTACTTTAACCTTACCTAAAGGGCCAAATCAGGAGGTGTGATAATACAAGTGTTGGTGAGGATGTGGAGCAACTGAAATTCTTACTGTGGTTCTTGGGAGTGAAAATTGGTACATTTGCACCAAAAAACTCTTTTATAATATAGATATTATAAAATATATATTATAATAGATATATATATATATATATATATATATATGAGCGACAGACATCTAAAACTTCACACTGACTTTATTCATAGAAGCCCCAAACTGGAAGCAACCTAAACATCTATCACGGATAGAATCAGTAAGAAGGTTTTTCTATTCACACTATAAAATTATATGCAGCAATGAAAATGATGAACTACTATTATTAAGGTAAGCTGGGATGACTCACAAATACAGTATTAACAAGTAGACTCACAATACAATATAATACACATTATTTGATTCCACTTACGTAAAATTTTAAAACAAGCGAACTGGTCAGTGGGGATGGAAGCAAGAGAGTGGTTATGTTTCGAGAAGTGAACAGAGAAGGAACAGGCCGGAGGAAATTCCAGACAAGAAGCGTGTTGGGAGTGTTTTACATCTTTCCTGCTGAGTGGTGGCTGCAGGTGTACGTGCACATGTAAAGCCCCTCAAGTTACACACTTGAGATTTTTGCTGTCTGCTGTAAATTTTATATTCAGTGGTAGACAGGACTACGATGCCCTCAACTTATTCCTTGGAACTTGTGAATATGTTTTCTTAGCCAGCAACAGGGACTTTTGTAGAGGTAGTTAAGGTTAAGAATATGTAGGTAGGAAAATTGTCCCGGATTATCCAAGGGGGTACAATGTAATCATACTGATGTTTAAAGATGCCAGAGGAATGAAGCATAAGTTACCCCCAGCTCTGCTGGGCTTTAAACATGGAGGAAAGGGGCACAAGCCAAGAACGAGGGGCAGCTTCCAAGACGAAGAAATCAGAGAAACGGATTCTCTCCCAGAACTTGTGGGAAGAAGGGCGGCCCTGATGAAACTGACTCTAGCTCAGTGAGACCGGTGTGAGGCTGGAGCTCTGAAACGGTACGTCTGTGTTATTTGGACCCACCACGTTCATGGAAGGTTGTCACAGCAGCGACATAAAATTAATCTATGACAAAAAATTAAAAACTAAACATTTATGCTTTTCCTTAAGGAAGGATCTTAAAAATGACATTCCCTTGCCTCCCCGAAACCTGGTTACCTTATCTCTAAAGTGCCCTCAGAATGAGCCCTTGCAACCATCTATCTTAGTGTCCCTGTGAGTTCTCCGAGGGCGTCGTACGCTGTCCACTGCGCCATGCTGTCCCCTGTACGTGTACATTATGTGCACTCGGTGCTCTGTACTTGTTTGGCAAATGAAATTAAACTGAACTATTTATCTGTAAGAGAGGCAGCGGCCAGGACAGACACAATCCCACTAATACGTTCTTTCAGCCTACTTAGGGAGCTTTCCACGGCAAAGATACATTAACGTTAGTGGTTCTGAATAACGAGGCTGAGGTTGTTTTAAACAGCAGGTTGGCATCAGAGGAAACATTTCCATATCATTCTAGATTAAATGAAACATTTAGCACTTCATGCTGTCTTCCCTGGTAATTTTGCCTTGTCCCTCACATTAGTGATTTGTTCCACGCGGCCCCTCATTCAAGATAATAGCAGGCCAAGAGGAATGACAGACAGGGACAAGGCCGTACCTGGTCACCAATATCCCACTATGCTGCCTTGGGGCGTGGGCCTGGTAAAATTGTCACTGTCTTAAAGCAAAGGAACTGTGCTTGAGTCTACATATTAGGGATTCAGTCCCTGCAGTAGCAGTGATCGAATTATGTAGCAAGTGGAATGCTCTGGCTGGGAAGAAGTCCACAGCCTGCTGTTCTGTGTCCCGTCAGACACAGATATTTTTCAATACTTATTATAGGTGCAGCCCTGTGATGCTGCAGGGGATATGAGAGAGAGGAGATAGATTTCCTCAACTTCAAAGCACATAATACAGTGAGGGCAATAAAACATTTAAGAAAAGGAATGGGACCAGTACCTGCTCTTCCAATCCAGAGGAGGGAGGGAGGATGTCAGGCAGGTTTTGGGGAGCTTCTAGAAGTAAAGGTAGGCAC